AAAAAAACGAAGTCCAGATGACATGATTCAACCTTTTTTGTTGTTATATACCTGGATGACTGAGAAAACAAACTTTGTGTATATTGATGAACTTTAGGACTATCTTGTCGAGTTTTGACATGAATTCCCTTCCAGAAGAACTTAACATTATTTTATAAATGCAAACTTTAAACCAAGGGCACAAAGTTTATTTTGTGTACACATTTGCATATGTATTAATTATCAAAAACATTTAAGTTATTTAACCTGTTATTGGTACATCTCAAATCCTCACTGCGATTTGTTATCTCGAGATTCTGCTTGTTCACTTACCTACTTTTTTCCTACGTTTTTACCCGTTTTTCTTTCCTGATATTTTTTATCCGTGTCTCTTAAGACATGTGAAATTTTAAGTGTTGCAAACGGTGACAGAGAAGTTGCTACATCATGCAGAGTCTGAATTGTTCTTCCGTTTTCTCAGCTGACCTGAGTTTCTCTTTGTCTCTCTGCACAGGGGACATGGGTGTAGGAAAGTCCTGTTTGCTTCACCAGTTCACAGAAAAGAAATGTGAGTGCCTATCTTTGTATGTGCTTCAATGCATGCAAGGTTGCCAGATTTCTCTGAAGTGCTTAAATTGCTTTAGATTTTTTTTTAAACGTCAGCGGAAGTCTGTATCAAAGAAGACAAGTGTGAGCTCACAGTGGGGGTCTCTTCTCCTGTGTATGAGCCAGCTGCAGCCTGCCATTGCCATTCAGCTCAGTTATGTTCAGTGCTGCTGTTAACGAGCCAGATGCTGCGCTCCTCATTCACATGTTCATGATCACATCCTGCCCCTGTCCAAACACACGCACACACTTACTAGAGTGATTCAGGGAAGGGTTTCCAATGTTAGTTTGAAAGAGTGAAATTTGACACATTTGGTTGTTTATATTTCAAGTTTTCACAACTCTGTGGTTCTAACTGTGACAATTAATAACTGGTTCATCTGCTGCTAGTTAACAGCAGAAATCAGGTTGGTTAGTTTGGTTGAGTGTTCACTAGGGATGCACGATATTGGATTTTTGGCCGATATGTTAAAACTTATTTAGCTGATAACCGATACCAATACTGATATTTTTTCCCTAGACCTACTTACAGAGACTACATAGCTTTCTCTGCTGTGGAATTAAAATACTACATTATTCTGCATGGTCTTTGTCCGTTTGACCTGCTACCAAATGCAGATGCCAAAAAGGGAGCTGAAAATGATGTGACACTTCAACTTGGATTATGTTTAATGTCAAATTTATTCATGACCTTTATTCTCTAACACAATGACAACACTCGAACAGTGCAAATTTGTAAATTTTCACAAATCTAAACTCAGCGGTGCACATGACGTCATAATGTTGTGCTGACGCTGCAAGCATCCTTGTCGCTGGGTTGTTATGCAAAATCAGCGCCTTTATTTATTATATATATATATATAAAAACATTGCCTTTTATATCGGTGAGTTATTTTGATGGAGTGGCCAATGTCCGATATTATCCGACTTTATCGCTAATATCGGCCGATACCATGCCGATAATATCGTGCATCCCTAGTGTTCACATTAATAACATTTATTGTAAGTTAAAACTGGGCGTAGATTTTAATTTAAATAGCTGGATAAACTGTCACACCTAATGTTCCTAATTTATCTGTAGAACACCTTAATCTAAAAAAATGATAGAAATATGAATGTCAGTCAAAGGCTAACAGTGGGATTTTTTGCCATGGGGGAAAATCCAGTTGAATTCACTTTTATTTTTACTTCCTCTTCACAGTTATGGCAGACTGTCCTCATACAATTGGCGTGGAGTTCGGTACAAGGATAATTGAGGTGAGCGGACAGAAGATCAAGCTGCAAATTTGGGACACAGCAGGACAAGAGCGCTTCAGAGCCGTCACGCGCTCCTACTATCGCGGAGCTGCAGGAGCACTTATGGTTTACGACATTACCAGGTAAAGCATGCTTTTACCACATGTGCTACTTCGGTCCTGACAAAAAGTTTTCATAATAGAGCTGATCTCAATCTAGATGTTTAAAACTTACATGTTAGAAGAGGCCAAAATGAAAAACAAGTGCACAATCCAGAACAAACATGAATGGTTTTATTACAGCTTGTGTTCAAACCCCTTCCTTCAGATCTCAGATGGTATCATAAGTATGCTTAACAAACACAGCTCAACGTGTGAAATGTCTGTTCAAACTGCAGGAAACTCCAGCTGTTGTCCCAAGAGGTAAACAAACTGTGCTCAACTGGAACTCCAGTTATAAATTGTTTATATTACTGGGAAAAGTAGTATTACTGGTATTGCTTCTTTTGGTCTAATCCACAGTGTCAGTCAGTGTTTGTTCAGCCCTGCACAGTTGCTCTGAATGTGCACATGCTCATATCCTGTTATTATGAGGGTGTAGCTGCAAAAGCTAAATGTTATCTTTGTGTCTTGCTTTTCCCCCCCCCCTTGTGTGTCTAAAAGTGAAAGTTGGTTCAGTACAAATTGAAATTTTCAAGAAATTTATATATAATAAAGTAATGCAATATGCATCTGACAATAAACTGTGAACTTCATTTCTAATCATTATGTGGCAGCCATAAATCAGCATGTTCCAAAACAGCTTTTATGTCAGGAATCACTTGCATCGTGAAAAAAATTGGATGTTAAATTTAATTATACTTTCATGAAGCTGCTGAGATGAGTATTGGGAAATATTTGGTGAAAATAAAAAATGGCTTTATGTTTGGCTTGCATTAACAAAAGGAAATCAAAAAAAGAGTTTTAACTAGTAGGTTTGGTAGCAATTCGTTTGTTTTTTTTAAATACATTTTGTATTTTTGGACCAGCTCTGCATTTACCCAAAACATCTTAACATGTTGATTTTTTTCAGGACCAAATTATAATAAAATTTTAATATTGATTAGAAACTTAGGCTAAGACTTCAAATAAGTGACAGAAATAACCTGGTGTTGGAGATCAATGGTGATTCAAACAAGAAGCTACTAAACGTACCGTAGTATAATATAGCTTTCACTCGAGTTGTCTAAATTCTTCACCTTGCAGCGATGCGGTCTGTACCAGTTCACAGCTGCTGCATCTGTCTAATCTGTTCAGTGATGGCAGGATATTGTCTTGTTGTCATAGTAACATCTGTACTTGTTTTCACACAGGAGAAGCACTTACAACCACCTCAGTAGCTGGTTGACTGATGCCAGAAACCTCACCAACCCCAATACTGTAAGAACACTGATCGACTTCTTGTTCACTTGAATTATTCAGTGTGTTTGATTAATTTCCAGTTATTCTCACGTTGTTTTCCTTCAGTTTTAAATAAAATTACAGATTCATTTCTTTACCAGGTTGTCTTGGTAAATATGATTAACTTGAAATCATCCATCTGAGCAACAGCCCACTTCCTGTACATTTTTTAAAATCTTGAACTTTTCTTGATTTTAAACCATTAAATATTATGTACAAGTCCAGCCACTACAGTGCACTTAAAAAACAGTAGTTCAAAATAAAAGGCGCTTTACAGAGTTGCATATCAATATTTCACAAAGTTTGTCATTATGTTAATTTATTTAATGGTGTAGAAGCAAAATATTAAATTTCAGAGATTTAATAAGATTTCGTGTGTCGATGTGTTCTCGAGGCTAAACCAACTTACTCTTCTCAGTCCACTGAAAGGTTACATTTCGTGTATAAGAAATGAGTGCTACATCCCTTTTGTGCTGTAATGAGACTGCAGTTAGTCAGAAAACCAGCCTCTGTGATTTCCTGATCTGTTTCAGCTGAAATTACTTAAAGGCTGTTGTGGCACTGCTGTAGCATTACTGTGCCTTTTGTCCCAAGTGTCTGTAACAGCTGCTTATGGTTTTAAATGCCTGATCATTTGACTTGCATTGTAATGATTTAAAGACCCAATTTGGATAAAAGATTCAAAGAACATGCGTGGTCGTATTTCTTTGTTCGAAGAATTAATTCAACTGCTGGGGAAGAAGGAGTTCATGACCTGAGGTTATATCTAAACATGAACACAAGTTATATACCAGTTGACTTGCTGCTACTAGAAACAAGCTCATTACATCAGTCTGCTTTGCAGATCTCACGGTTACTACTGAATCTATCATTTACCTCAAAGCATCAATCATTTTTTTCAGTAGGCACGTTCTCTGTGCAGTTAAGCTATCCTATATTTCATTAAGCTTATCTCTTCTAGAATCGGTGAGCACATTTCTTCCAGCCATATTTTCCTTCTCACTTTTTCCATGTCTGTATCATCAGGTGATCATTCTCATAGGAAACAAGGCGGACCTGGAGGCCCAGAGGGACGTGACGTATGAGGAGGCTAAGCAATTTGCTGAGGAGAATGGTGAGCCCCGCATCAGCTCGAGACATTAACAAAGCTTTCTCTGGAAAATGGTCCCAGGTTTTAGCAAAACCAGTGTTTTTTGAACAAGACCAAATGTTAAAAGTTAAATTGAGTTTTACACATACTATTCTTCCTTGTTTGGAAAAAAATCCCACACAGTTCTTTACAAAAATCACATTTTCTGATACTGTAACTTGAAGTGGGATTGTTGAACAGGGAGTAGTGCACTCTTAATAAGTATAAGGGTGAATGAGAACTTGGGGTGTAAGCTTCTTTTCCATCCTTTGTTAGGCTGATGGTCCTTCTTGATCATGTGAGCAGCTGGTTTTGGTTGTCAGCAGCAAAACTGGTTGATCCACTATGAGAAGGTGCTATTTATAAGACTGAGCTGAATACAGCACCTCAGACTGAGGAAGTCTTTCGGATGAAAGTCAAAATGTTTCTACTTTTTTGTTTTTGTTTGTTTTTTTGAATGTCCAGAGGACCAGACTTAACTTTTTCAGATTTTTCTACCTGGATTATTGAGCATGCATCAGGATAAGCTGCTGTTTTTTGTTTTGTTTTTGTTTCAGGTTTGTTGTTTTTGGAAGCAAGTGCAAAAACGTAAGTCTGAAACATTGTCTCCATAACTTAGAACTATTCCATTTCCTGTATTAGCAGCTCATCATTTAGCAAGTTTTCATGCTTCTTTTGTTTGCAGGGGTGAAAATGTAGAGGATGCCTTCCTTGAAGCTGCTAAGAAAATCTACCAGAATATCCAAGATGGCAGCTTGGACCTGAATGCCGCTGAGTCAGGAGTCCAGCATAAGCCCTCAGCGCCTCAGGGTGGTCGGCTAACCAGTGAACCTCAGCCCCAGAGGGAAGGATGTGGCTGCTAATGATCAAGCAAAAGCCCACTGTGCCCTCCCTTCTTATCTGCTCTGCCCGCCTACACCTCAAGTACCCCATCCATCCATTCCTACACTTGCGTGAGAGCGGTGCTGCACGGAAAAAGAAAGGGGGTGGCGAATATCAACTTGGGCCAGACTGAGCTGGGCTGTGTGGACTACATCCTCCTCCCCCATCCTTTTTGCCTGTCACCCTTTGTTGCTGTGTCAATCCTCTTAAAACTCAGTGTATTTTTGTCCCATAAATCTCATTTCCTCCCCAACATTCAGTCTCCCCTCCCCCCATCAGTAGTATCATAGATGGCACCGTGAGTTACACTGGTCACTGACACTTTAGATAGATGTAATGTTCAAATGAAAATAACAAAGCAAGACTGTTTTTTTTTTATGTTTGGTTTTATAGCTATGTATGAAATGTAAACACTGCACTAAGTTTCAGTCATCGCTCATCATTTTTGTATAAATCTAATCTAAATTATATTTCCTAATTCCTCTCGTTGCATGGTTTATGATTCCATCACTTTATCAGATCATGCAGATAATATCTCACTTGTTTAATGGGGACACAAAGCAATGAAGTAGTTTTAACACGTAGCCGCACAAGTAGACACTCCAAACCGTGTGTCCAAGACTGCGTATTTGAGTGAGCTATTTCCATCAGAATTTAAACCTGCTTGTGGCTATTAAACCTGTTTTTGCTGCTGGGCACAAAAATAAAATTCTTTGCCAAATCTGATAAAACTCAGGAGAGAGAGAGAGAAAAATAAATGTAAAGAATTACCCTTTAAATACTATTATGGGTAATTTTCAAGTCTCTGCAGAGGTGGTAGTTTGGGGTGTTTTTCTAGTGGATCTGAGTGTTACAAAGTTGGATGGATGGTTCTTTAGGCGAAGTTATAATGTCACTTTAAGAAGTCTTTTCTGTTTTTGATGAAAAGATAAAATTTACATCAGTTTGCACCAGCTCTCCCTCATTCACATAACCCTGAAACTCTTCCCACAGTCATGTCGGTACCAGCTTTTCTTTGTCATCGTTTGTTGCCTTATTAAGTATTCTTTAGTCATTGTTTTCGCTGCACTTGCTCTTCATGCTGCTGTTTGGATTACCTGGATTCGATGAAATTTGCTCTTTTAGGATGCCTCTTATATTTTACTTTCTAAAAAAGTATTTGCATCGTATCACTAAGGACCGAGTTAGCAGGATGGTCTTAAAACTCACAAAACAAGTATTTCTCACTCCTTTGTTGTGATGAAGCTGCACTGAATGGCTCATTTGTTGTTCAATTGGAAAAGTTGTTGCTCTGCTTCATTAAACCAAGCAGCAGCATGACTCCCTTTGAAACAGGAAGTTGTGAGATCTAGTTGTTTAAGTACAAATATGTTACTCTGTAACATAGCAGTTCCCTTACAGCTGTATATATGTGCTTCTTAATTGCTGGTGATGACCTTGCTACTGTACTTTGGATTTAGAAATTTGTTTGGTGGCTCTGCCAAGATCTTGTACAGTTAGTGTGCTAGTAGGTTGCCTGTAATTCATGCTTGGAAAAATCTGTAACATAGTTTCTATTAATAATTGTAAGTAAAGGACAGACGCACAGAAAGCCCCTCTACACACTGTTGAACTTACGGAGAGGAGAGAAACTGGATTGAGATGATATGCAAACTAGTATTTATGTCAGCAAATTTTGCTTTATCTCATTTTTGTACAGAGTGAAGAACGGGGCATGCTTATGTTGAAATTGTTTTTTTTTTTTTCCTAATCATGGCTCATCTGTACTAGAGGGGCCTAAATTGCTGTCTTAACTTTTCGGAGAGCAGGGATTAGTTTGTTGAAGTGAGTGGGCTGGGCTTCCTTTATCCTGTGTCCTGCCTCTTTAGCAGTTTTGAGTGACCACTTCCTGCTTTTTGTCTCTGTCCACAATAAAGAAGAAGAAAAAAAAAAACGTAAATATGTATAAATTTTTAAGAAGCTGTGCTAACATTTAAATGCATTCTTGCGTGTACATGATTTTAAAGTGTTGACATTTTGATTTTAATGATTAAAAATACTCTAGTCAGAAAAAAAATAAATTATACATAACCTGTACGTGTGTCTTTTTAACATTAAAACATCAAATCAAGAGTTGGATTTCAAGTAGCACAACTGCTTTGTGTTTTATTGCAACTTAAATTGCACCCAGGTTAGAAAGAAAGAAAACATTTACAAAATGAAGGCAAAAGTTGTTCGCAAAACTGGTGACTGAGACTTACACAAAAATAGAGTAGTGGTATGTTTGATAGAGGGGAATAGAAACGTCCACAATGACAGTACCATTAAAAATCAAGGCTGGCAGCGGTGATTTGTCCTCAGGCTTCGCAGTCAGGCAGGGCATAAAGGACGAGACAACTACAGAACATGTACAAGAGTTGTAGACAAAATCTTTTACAGTGGCATTTCATCTGTCTGTAATGGTCATCCTCTTCTATATATATATTTTCTGGAAACAGCATGTAATACAATTAAGAATTTCAGTCCAGTGTTTCCCCCAGGATATACTTTTCTTTCTGGGGTGAAAGCAACAGCTTTAATATCTGACCTCCGAGAAATAAAAGCCCGTCAGGAAAACAGTTTGTTACCCCTTTTTACCAAATGGCATGTTAGTGAAGGCTCTGACTAGCATGCAGACTTGTGTTTACATATGTAAAGAGAAGATTCAGTCTTAAGGAAAACGTAAAACCGATCCACTAAGTTGCAGACCATACACTTCGGTTAGCCTCCAATACAGCCTGGAGATAATTTTTAGTTTATCTTTTTGGTTTTGCAAACGTATCCAAAGCCACTCTCGAGCACACAATACAACTTAGCCAGAGTATTAAAAATGCACTTTTAAGTGCTGAGGCTGAGAAAGCCCTTCTGGTAGTGTTTAAGGCACTATTTGTTACAAAGTGTGCAGCAAAAAATAAGAGGAAGGCTGACATGAGTGCCTCAACCGTTTGCACCCATTACGTTTTTGGCACATGGTTGCCAACACTGCAAACAGCATTTATATCTATATAATACAAACACGGGCATGATTTAATCTCAACACAACCAATCACTGATGACTACAATAAAATAGATGTGTCGGACGAAACATCCCGCTCTGTTTTTCAGAATCTTTAAACATGAAAATAGAAAATACAACTGACGATGCTTTGTAAGGCACTGTGGACCACAATGAGGTGAAGCATTTTTTGCTAATTGTCGCAGCATAATATAGACTCACAGAAACGGGGTCTTTTCATGATAACGCTGGAACTATTTAAAAGACAACTGGTGAATCCATGTTGATGAAGAATTGGTCCCTAGCCTCATTAAAGGCCCCAAAAAACAATGTGCATTCATAGTTAAGGCTGTTGAACATCCACATACGGGTTCCTTTGATCCCATTCATTATAACCACAGGATTAATTAAGTCGGAGAGGACTGTAGAGTGAACCTACAGTGCTGCATCCACCCTTTACTGGCCACAGCTCTGAAAGGATAACGTTCTGAAGTTCATATAGGTTCTGTTATGGTCCTTATTGCGCTACCTCTGAACGATGTCACTGATCTCTTTGACAGAGGACAGCAGCTTGCTGAAGTCTTGCTGTGCATTGGAGCCCCCTGTGGCAGTGGGGCAGATCTGAAGCTCGCGCAAGCTGCTCTCGAGTTTGTTGATGGCCTCTCGAAAGGCAAACTTGTTCATCTGCTGAATTGAGTCAACAAAGCTCACACAGTACTTGGACAGATTCTTGCCGGCCTCCAGCACGCTGCTGTGGCTACCCGTTTGCTCGGAAATGCGAGAAATCGCTTTGCGGAGCAGCTCGGCTCCTTCCAGCACCATCTCGCGTGTCACGGCCGAGTTCGGGGTGCGCTCAGAGGCTTGGCGGGGTGTCGTTTTGCGTAGAGAAATTCGAGTTTTAGCTAGAGGGGTGAACGCAATTGAGCTTTGATCAGTGGGTGTGGTTACAGCTGAGCCTCCCTGGTTCTGGGTAGAAGGAAAAGTGGTTGCTGAAGTGGGTGAGGTGGGGGATTTTAGTGGCTGAGGTTTAGAGGAGCCGCCTAGGGGAACCTTTTTGGATCCCTCAGTGACTGGTGAGCGGGCTTGGTCACTAGCAGCTGCAGTATGGCGGGGATCTGAAATCGAAGGAAGGCACTTGAGTTTGATATCTGAAGGGGAAGATGAGGGGGAGGGGAGTTCTTGAGTGGGGCTACGGGACATCTTGCTTGTTTTAGGACCAGTGGGCGGTGGAGGTGGGGCTGGTTTGGGTTTCTGTAACTTTCCTTTTTCTCTGACAGATAAGGGATCTATCGTGTGCTTGTTTCTGCGGGCCCTACACTCGTCACCAGCTGCTCCCAAAGCAGGAAAAACGTTGGGCTTCAGAAGCTCTGCATGGAGAGCACTGGTCTTTGAGTTCTCCAAACCTGGCACACCTGGCCTCTTCACCACCTTGGGTGTCAGTGCTTTTGGACTGGAACCTGGACTGGGATCTGTATCTTTTCCCAAGAAGGAAGAGGAAGGATCAGGTGGTGTGTTCAGGCGTGGTGGGGGAGTCAGGGTACCTTTTCGAGGGGCCGTCTCTCCTTTCTGCTCATTGGTCCTCTTGCGTGGCAGCGCTGGTTTGCCTGTCAAGGTGCTTGAATCAAAGTGGCGATGGCCCGGATCTCTTGGCAGTGTGACAGATTTCCACTCGGTACCATTAGTCATGTTACTGGACCAGAGGAAGCGGCTTGAATTGGAAAAAGATTCCTCTTCGCTGGGTGGTGTTGTGGCCACCTTACCTCCTGGACCAGGCACCGCAGGAGACCCTTTCTTTCGAAAAAACAAAGGTCCAGGGTAGTTTGGACCCCCACTGGAAATACCACCAGCTCCATTATTGGTCGTACTCAAGAACTTTGACAAGTCAGTGCCATGTGTGATGTCGTTTAGAGACAAGGGTGCACCATTGTTGAAATTATCACCGTCTCGAGGATCAGGAGTCACAACCCTTCTGTCGGAGTGAACCTCGTCTCTGAAAGAAGAGCTGCGTTTGGGTGGCTCAGGTGCGCTCTTTTTCTTTTTCTTGATGAGACTGAGGAAACCGCTGCCACGTGTCTTGTCCTTGTCTCTGGGCAGCAAACGGTCATCTTCATTTAGGTTGTTGTCCATCAGGGGGCGCTCTTTCCGAGGAAGCATTGGCGATGATACAGCCACCTCTGGATCCACTGGGTCTAAGGAACAGCATAAACATGCCAAGGAAATGGAGATGGAATGGAAAATCAAGTTATTCAGTTAAAGTACAATAAAACATTCTTAGGACGAATGTGATCAATAAAATTGAAAGATTTTAAATTTAAGTCATAATAAGGACAGAAAAATACATTACAAAGTTAGGGGTATGTAATACAGTCTAACATGAGTTAAAACAAAATGACCAGTGAGAATCACAACAAATGTATTCACTTGTAATTAAACAAAGCAACATAGACACATGACGTGCACCCAACCTGGACTGTCTCTGTCCCGGCTTTCCATGTTTCTGCGGGAAGGTCTGGTCTTGGTGGGCAGCTGTGGAGCCTGCTGAATGGGGCCTAACGTGGTCTTTTTACCCTTCTTCCCCAACTCCTTCTCAACCTCTTCAATTACACAGATGGTTTTGACGTTTTAACAACAAATATAATAACATTGATGCATTTCTTTAAGCTAAAAGACTGTGGATATTTTAAAATGTTCTTCAAAACTACAAAACGTTTTAGACGTTTAAAAAAGCAGCACTGACCATCAGAGATGCTGGACTCCTGAAACATAGTCTCAAATGCTTGATGTGTTTCAGCAAATGTCGGGCGTTCAGCTGGGTTCCACCTCCAACCTGAGAGTAAAACAAGAGTGGGACTCAAAAAGATCCTTCAAAAACAACTAAAATATTTGTTTATGGACGCTTTATTTGTACTCACAGGCTGTCATTAGCTCGTAGACCTTCTCTGGACAGCCTTCTGGTCGTTCCATGCGGTAGTCTCTTTGCAGCAGCTCATAGACCTGGGACAGGTCAATGCCGGGGTAAGGAGACATACCATAAGTGGCAATTTCCCACAACAGTACACCAAATGCTGAGAAAGGAACAAGGCAGTTAGTTTCATTGTACAAATGAAAAGTTCACAAAGAAAACTGGACTATATAAAATACTGCAAACGTGAATTTTAACATTGTCTGAGTGAGATTAAACTTACCCCAGACATCAGACTTGATAGAAAATGTGTTGTAAGCCAGACTCTCTGGAGCAGTCCATTTAATGGGGAACTTGGCACCAGCGTGAGCCGTGTACGTATCTCCAGTCATTAACCTGCTCAGGCCAAAATCTGCAACTTTCACCAGGTGGTTCTCCCCAACCAAACAGTTACGAGCAGCCAAGTCCCTGCAGGAGAGAATAAAGAGTCATGAACGAGATGCTATGAGAAATTATGCGACTTTGGCAGAAAGAAAAAATAATAATTAAAAAATGGAGATCAACTGATTGCAACACACTCAGTAAGATATATAAGCTATCTGCTGTTTCATCATGTTTTGTGATGCAAGCAGAGTCCTGTCAGCCTCAAGAATTAAAATGCAGTTTGGCTAAATCATTTCTCATTGCCTCCTAAAGACCAGATTAAATGTGTCAGAAAAAAAACAAATGTATTACAACAATGGCTTCTCTGTGGCGCAAAGAGAAATAAGAGAACGGCCCAGGAATGAGGAAAACAAGATATGTCAGGAATGTTTTAATCTTTAGAGTTGTTACAGCTTTGATTAAACGCATCAAGTGAAAAACCTGGAAACAACTTGCTTTGTTCGTTTTAATTAAATGTAAACACCTGTGTATAAAGTTTTTTTTCTCCAGGTACTCCATGGCTGAAGAGATTTGTGTGGCCATGTACAGCAGCACCACGGCGTTGACGTCCTCTCTGTTGCACTCCCTCAGGTAGTCCAGCAGGTTACCGTGGGTCATGAACTCTGTGATGATGTAGAACGGCGGCTCCCGTGTGCAAACACCTGCGAGTGGCAAGAATTAAAAAAACAAGAGTGGTATATTTTAAGTTTCATTTCTTAAAATCAGGTTTTATCAAATGATACAGCAGCATTGGGCAGAATGTTGGCTGCAGAGTCTCCTCTTCCCCGCAAGCTGTTTATTTCTGTGTTCAGTGTGAGCAACTTTTCACTGCATTGAATATAATAAAAACAATGTCTATTTCTATAGCACATAAAAACAACAAAAGCTGACCAAAGGCTTTACAAAAACCGCTCAAAGGAGTTTCGCTCTAAAGTCCACCTCAGTCAGTTTTGAAAGTCTAAAATGATTCAGACTCCCAGACAAACGCCTGCCAGAGGACAACACAGCTACAAGGTGTTTACATTTATTTTACCCAGATATAAGATAAACTGAGAAAAGTTAAGTCCACATTTCTGTAGAAATATTGTAACATAAAGCATCAGAAAAAACAGCTAATTTATTTATTCCTTCTCTAGAAAAATGTTGTCCCTTTTCAGGTTTTTAATTTTGGCCACTTGTGAAAATGGGGTGGACTGCACGGAGTTGGAAGGTCACACAGATTTAAGGAGATTAAGATTGGAAGAAACTATCGGTAAATGGAAATCAGCCAGGAGAGATGCAAGTCAAACGGGTTTGAGCTAAAACCTCCAAGAGAGCCTAAAAAAAAAAAATAATTTTTACAGCATAGATTTCATCTTTGAAGTTTTCTTAAGAAGAAACCTGGCTTTGCTCTCGTGAATCCATGATACCATCTCGTCTTGTGAGCAGAGATATTGCTACACCTCTAATATATATATTTAGTCATTTGTTTTACATACCCAACAGCTGCACCAGGTTGGGGTGTTTGATCTCTTTCATAACAGCAGCCTCTTTAAGAAACTCCTCCACCTCCATTGTGTCTTCCTGCAGAGATTGCAAAAAAAAAAAAAAAAAAGGATGAGTGAAGTTGCTAGGTGCAGTTGCATCTATCTACCAGTAGATGGCAGCATTATTCAGCCTGATTACAGATTTTTAATCAGTCTCAAAATGTTTCCATCAGTTGAAGGTTTGTGATATTTTTCATGTTCTCAGAAACAATAATGTCAGAACTTGGGAGTGCTGCAGAAAGACATTAAATCTTTCTCTTCATAGGTTTGTACCTTAAGTGTTTTGACAGCCACAGTGAGGTTGTACTTTTTCCAGACGCCTTCGTACACCTCCCCATACTGGCCCCCTCCCAGTTTGTGCCTCATAGTGATGTCAGTGCGCTCCATCTCCCACTTGTCGTAGTTGGGAGAAACTCCATAGATGGTGGGCTTGTTGCGTTTTGTCGCTGGATAGTGCAGCGTGGTGATGAGGCCGTCCTGCACGGTGGAGTGGTGGTGCACGAGTTCTGCCAATGTGGTGAAACGGCTCTCTGATGAGACGTACAGCTAAGGAAGAAAAGGTTTTTTTTTTACATGTGAGCAAATATATATCCTAAAACAAACAAGAAATAGACATAATGTCACATTCTAGTAAACAACAGGTACATTAAGGTTGTCAAAATCAATTATTTTTAGCTTCTTATATTCAACAATAAGTGCTAAAAAGTCTAAAAATGTTAAATGCAGGGATATCTGGAAACAGAAGTGGAAAAGTTATGCTCTTGGCCAACTCCAAGCTTGCGAGGCATTTGTCAGGAAGCTGGTGGACAGAAGGATGTTGGTCAGGGCTCAGCGGACACAGACTTTTCCATTATTCAAGTCTTGCATAATACTAAAACTAGTTTCCTCTAGTATGTTCTTTAAGCATTACTTTACATATTATTACTTTATAATGTATAAGATGATGGCACAGAGAAAAGAGTAAAAAAGGAAAACTTAAAACAAAAAACGAGTTCAAATCTAAAAAGGAGAAAACTGCTTTTTAGGTTGAAAATTTAACTATTTAGCAAGTGCAACAAATAATTAGTTTATAAATGTTTTGTTCAGAGAAGCTGCTGCTGTGAACAAACAGACTTTTGCCAACTTGCTTTGTGGTAGGACAGGACACAATATGAAAGATGAAATCTTGTGCATGAATGTGTCTGGTTGTCTCCGTTTGTGCATTTGTTTTTATGTATGTGTGAGCATCCACATTAAGCACGCCTTAGCATGGACAAGAATAACTGGGTCAGGCCTCCTGTTTGCCATGAGCACCACAGTGGTGGTCAACGGTGTTTTTGTCATCGCTAAGCTCCTGAAGCTAGCCCGCTCGCTTCATCGGACAGGAGGACAAAAAACTAGCTTCTCGAGGCAATCCCACACACACACAAAAAAGTAGTAAACAATCCTAGGCCTGTCGCGATAAACAATAAATCAATTAATCACATGATAAGCTTTATTGTTTCTTCAAGTCTCTCTCTTTCTACTCAAGACACTGGATGACAAAAAGCTCAACTCCTGCGCTCTTCACTGACCCCTCCCTTTCTCTTTAAAATCCATTTTAACTGTACAAAATCACATTTTTGGATCATTAAAAGCAGCTAAGCTGAGAAGCTAAGCTATAAGCTAAGCTAACAGGCAGACCTTTGTGTGAAAAATGCTATGCTAAAGAGCTCAAACCACATCGTGCGTCCGCCATTTTGTGAACCGAAAAAAAGGAAAGAGACAGTTGATGTCCCGTCAAGGGGCCTCCCTCCCATTTTTCTTAAAGAGTCATGCTGCTCACTCCCTCACTATCCATCCTTCAGTTCAAACTGTCTTATACTGCCATCCGGTGGTCAAAAAGGTACTACACTCAAAACAAATTAACCGTTTATTCTTAAATTTGACAATAATTACCAATTACCGTCAAATTCCAAACAATATTATCGTTTATGGCAATAATTTCTGCGACAATTAATCGTCCAGCAAAATTTATTATCGTGACAGGCCTAAACAAACCAGAACTTCATAACATTTGAGCATTTTGGGGACAAGAAAATAGTGATTTGTAATTTTACGTTTTGGTATGCCAGGGGTTAGATTTGAGAGGTACAAAGGCAAGACTTGCCCGTTTTTGTACATATTGTTAGTCTATCTATGCGATTTAGTACTTTGGTTTTACTAATCACAAAATGCAGTTTTAACCTAAAAAAAACAATTCACTAAACTGTCATGCAAATCATCAGATTTATTTTTGATGTTGACAGTGAGGTTCTAACTTTTCTCCATAACATTAGAAGCTTTTGAGAAGAAACACACATTCATAAAGTCTAAGTGCTACAGGTGCAACAGGAAGTTGTTTAATCCTCCCTTTATTAAACTTAAGTCAGAGCAAAAAGCTTGCAGAGCTGTTGCCACTAGGAGCAAACATAAACAATAGTCTCTAAAATATCCTCCAGCTGGTATTCGTTGACAAAGAAATGTTCAAAGCTGGAATTACAGTAAAAAGGTAGAGCGTTATGCGTTATTCTGTGAAAACAAGATTAATTTTAAGTGTAGACATTCCTGAATTGTATAAACTGCATGTGTGTGTGTTTCCAGCGATGCCAACCTTGCCGTCTGATGCAGTGTTAATCCTGTAATGGTACACTCTCCCCTCGTAACGCAGAGAAATGGACCTCTGTCCGGGGCTGCTCTCGCTCTCTCGGACCAGAAAGCTTCCGTTGATTCCCGAGCTGAGCAGGTACTCCGCAGCGTTGCGCGACACGGGCCCATGGTACCAGCTGTGCTTCTCCAGGCTGTTGACTGGAGTAATGTAGTTGGACGGCACCCATCCCTGGCCATTCTTGGTCTGCGCCTCGCACCACTCACCGTTGTGGTTGTAACCAAGCACGCGCAACTTCTCCCCTAATCAAACACAAAAAATAAATAAATAAAAATCAGCTCAATGGATCTGATTAGGTAAATGCAAGAAATTTAGCTTACGTCTTTCAGATGGTATTAGACAACAAAAATTTAAATGTATTTCGCTGCATTAATCCTAAAATAAACTTCTTTTTTTTAAACTTTCTAACTACATGTCAGAGTATGAGAAAGTTAGATTATGATAGACATGTTCTTGTTTACTCTAGTGGCTATGTTCCCTCCTTCCTTCCTTCATTTGTCTGTCTGATCCATCCGCAGTATTGTTTTACAGTTGGTTCAGTGGAAAACGACCCAAGCGTCAAAACATTGTCAGGAAGTGAGAAGCTGATGCGACTGAAGACAAAGGGACACAAACAAGGAGATTCCCGGTTCCGCTCATAACCCTCCAGAGACCTTTGTCATCTCTGACATGCTAACCATTCTGTCACTTCCAACGTGAAGACGCTAATAAGATTATTTGGCAGAACGGAAAACTCACTGAAACTTGAGATCAGAACCATTTAAAAATTGAATGTTGGCTGGAAATATTTTCTGGTGCCCAGAAGTTTCAAAAAGTTTACATTTGTTGCAAATGTCCCTTAAATTTTTTTCTCATCTTCCTTTTATGCCTGATGTAAATACCAAAACTGCCCTTTAAATCACTCTTCAATAAACATTTATAATGAAAATAACCCCCTTCACCTTTAGTGATGCTTAGTGTGTTGTCACCGCTTGCCACAAAGTCATAGAGTGCGACGAACAGGTTGGGGTCATTCTCACTGGGTCCCGCTAACAGGTTCTCCTTGGAGTTCCAGCGTGCTGCTTCCGACAGACCCTGACCCTCAAAGTCTGGTCTCTGGAGAGCTTCTAGAAAAACACAAAAACAAGTCAGTCAGAAGACTTATCGACACAGCAAAGACATAAAACATTTCTGGGGAAAGACTCCATGACGTGTGTGCAGGAAGGCTGGTGAAGCTTTTTTTTTTTTTTTTTTTTTACAGCCTTACAAATATTGGATGATTCAACAAGAATGATCTCCTCCTGTATATGTTATATACAATTTTCTACCTTTTCAACTTGTTCTCACAAGCAAAGCATCGCCTGTGGCCCCACAGTGGGTTTAAAGTAATAAACCTGATCATGGAGACTGCACTGTCTTGTCTCTGCAGCTTCTCATTTCCTGGATTATCTTTACTAAGATTTAATTTACCTCAATACCTTATTGTAGACAACGAAGCCACATCAAAGCAGGAGAATGTGACTCGACAAGAAACCTGTAAAATTGATGTACAGGAACCTAGAGAATTATAGCAATTATACGGCAGTAAAAATTATAGATAAATCAAATTACGTTGGAAAAAAGTTAGAAATAGTATTTAAAATAAAGTCAGAAAAAGAAAATCAGGCTTTAAAGGCTGCTGTTTGGCCTAAATCTGAGCCTGCCAGTGTGGTTTCCCCCAGCTGTCATCTTACATTTCATAACCCCAGCTCAAATATGTTGAAGCAGCTTGATGTTTTCATGTTACAATTACATAAAGTATTTCCAATTAAACAGAAAGAAAATAAGGGCAAAGGTTTAAAAGGACTACACTGTGATCAAAACTTCAAAAGTGGATGAACCACAGAAAACAAGCTGCATTTTATAATAATAAACAGTTATACCTCAGAAAAACTAATTGATAGCTACTAATGTAAGTGGCCAAATTAAAACATTTGAGGGAAAATGGGCTTCAGAGTGTTGAATTTGTTTGATCAGTGTCTCCTCTTGCCTATCTCAGAAAGCAACTAGTTAGGAGTGTTTCAGCTTATCTATAATATTTTTTGCCATATAAGTCACACCTTTTTGCATAAATTTGCAAGTCCTGCTTATATAATGAAGCGACTAATAAACGTTTTTTCCCCCATATTGTATACCTGGATTATTGAGCATGGACTTAGTTGATTTTGAACCAGTTTGACGTGACTGTCGACGAAGAAGAGGGCTGGCACAGAGGAGGGGGCGTACCAAAGAGACCATCTTAGCACCAACAAAACTGGTTTGTTCCACTTTGGAGTAAGTTGTTGGGGGAAGAATGAGTTTTGTGCTGTGTGATTCCTTGACTGATGAAGCCTTTTGGATGGAAGGTGAAACGTTTCAGCACAAAAAAAGAAATTGTCCAGATGACCCGACTGAAAATTGTTGGATTGTACACCTGGATTATTGAGCATGGACTTTGTTAGTAAGTAAAAAAAACATTATATATAGATAAATTGGACAATATACAATATATACAATGTTTTTATTTAGCCATTTATAAATTATTCTGACAACTATAATGCAAACAAATGACGGAGTCTAACATTAGCAGTAGGAATGCACAATATTGGATTTTTGGCCGATATCCAATATGTTCAAACTTATTTGCTTGATAACTAATATCAGTACCAATACTTTTTCCTAGACCTACTTACAGAAACTACATAGCTGCTGTGGAATTAAAATACTACATTCTTCTGCATGGTCTTTGTCAATTTGGCCTGCTGATAAATGCAGATGCCAAAAAAGGGACTGAAAATGATGCAACACTATAAATATATATATATATTAAAAACAGCGCCTTTTATATCAGTGAGTTATTTTGATGGAATGGCCTATGTCCAGTATTTAACTTTATCGCTAATATCGGCCGATACCATGCCAATAATAAAGTGCATCCCTAATTATTAGCAGTTCACAGAATTAGTACTTAGAGTTTCAGGCAAACAAGTCAAAATGAGTGCAGATGAGCTGAATACTTGTGAGCAACAACTATTAAAGCTGATGAGCGTAGTGCTTACCAGTGAGTGAAGAGCTAATTTTTTTTTCTGATGGTGCCACATTGACCCTGACCTCATGATTAAATTAGCCTAAACAAAAGCCTGATGTTGCAGAACTTCAGTTTTCAACCTAAGAGATTAGCTTTATTTATTATGTAGTATCAAAAGATTTAACAGTGCAAAGCTGTAAAAATGTCATCCTCAAGATAGCTCAGGAATGCCTAAACATGCTTTGTTTTTTTATATAAATATGATGCAAGATTTTTATTATTTGCCAGAAAATAGTTAAAGGAAAAACAAGCATCCTGGCACATTATAGTCCCAACTTGGTCACTTCTCTTGTTTCATGAGTTGATATTAGCTGTGAAAAGGCCAGAAACCAGGATCACTGAATCTTTGTTTTGACAAGAATTGAAAAGGACAATGTGTACCCCAATAAAAAAGCGAGAGCACGAGCTGATTCAGAAGACTGCAAAGACAAAACGGTGTGGAAAAAAAACTACATTGAAGAGTCACATGCTCTTTCTCTGGCATGAACATTTCTTTGGAATGTTGTTAAATATAACAACAAAAAAGGTTGAATCATGTCATCTGGACTTCGTTTTT